GTACCTGAAAGGTCTCCTCCCGCTTTCAATCATGTTTGTTGCATCTATCAGCGAATACTTTGAGTATTATGAAGCCCTGGAGTACGAAGAATGGTGTGAGATTCTATCTGACATCCTTGAAGAAACTATTGGCTACAGGGAGATGTGCCAAACGCTACTGCAGATGCATGAAGGCGTCATGAAATCACTCAAAGCAATGGAGGACCAGGTCCGCGTAATTGTAGAAGAATTTAGCCATCTTCAACGGAAATCTGAAAAGGAGGTGGAAGAGTTAAAAGACACGGCAGCTACAAAACGCACCTGGGCGGCTGCATTTGCCTTTGTACCACTGCTAAACTTCTTAATAGTGCCTGTATTGTTGCATGCTGCTCATTCAGATTTGTTAGAGGCAACTGCTAAAGGCTACGAAGCAAAAGTTCAAGAGGCTGCCGCAAACACAGTCAGCAACACCATGATCCCTGCCATGATGGGCATTTTAAGTGGTATCTCCAAAGTAGCCGGTTTCTTCTCCGTAATGCAACAGGAGTTAAAAAAGTTTGAAGGAAAAGCTGAGAAACGCATGAGCGATAGGAAGAAACTGTATTACAAAGTTATGAAGGCACAAGCAAGAGATGTGAAGACCCTTTGCCGAGGTTTCTACGCGGCTATACCACAGGTCAGGACCCATTTGCTCGCCATTCCAACCGAGGGAACAGACCAGAACTACATCGACAGGTGGCTGAGAAAGCTGAGGAAAACCATTCAAGAAAAATGTTCAGTTCGAAGGCTAACGAGCCCGCTTCTGTGTGCCATCACAGCCCCAGTTGAGAGCTGGTGAAGAGTGGAAAGAACAAGATCGAGTGTCACTCTAGGAACATCTTAATGGAAGCAGTTTGATTTTTTTCGTTTTTCTTTCTTTACATACGTATTCTAGAGTAAGCGTAATCCACACGCAACAGCAAAACCATTATCTAACGTTATTCAATCCAGCATTAGGGGTGACACTGATTACGAATTTAATCGAAATTGCTTCGTGTACGATTCGATTCATCAATCTACCGGTTTATCCCTAAAGGAGCTCTGAGTCATTGTTGAGTGTAGCGCCTTAGAAAAACGAACACAATTATTATCAATTGCGAACAGGATCACAAGTTATTAGGAAATTTTATTTTTTCGTGGATTTCGTTTTGCTTAGCGTAGTTTTTCGAGTCTTCGCAGCTTCTGTTATCTTTGTTGATTAGTCATGTAGTGTGAGCAAGACTGTTACCAGATCCGATGAAGTATTTAATGACGGAGTGTGCCTCTCGAAGGATCTTGATATTGGGATTTTTCTTTTGGGCTTTGTCCGACCACTCATTGGAAAGAGCTCTAAGTGACGTAAAGACTTAGCAGGCACAGTGCGCAGAGCTTTGAATTAACTATTTCAATCATTACTTTTCATGGAAATAAATCAGTAGAGAGCTTATTGATGCACAGTCCTGTAAGAAGTTATGGAGGAGTTGAGATATCACGGCGTCGAGGCCTATGAAAGAGTTTATCAAAAAGAGATGTTCGGTTTATCTTCAGTATTTTGCTGGTACCTCGAAATTTTCCTCAGGTAAATGGTTTTGCTTTTATTTCTTCTTGTAAAATTGTTTTACAATTTGCACCTGCAAATGTTTCTTTTGTATAATTTGCCTTCAATATAAGCACTGGAGGCATCGGAAAGAAACAATTTGCCTTACACTGGAGATGCTTCTTAGAATAATTTCTTCCAAGTAAAACGAATGGAACAATTTTAACCTTCTTTGGAACAGTTTCCTTTTTAAAGGAATTAATCCACCTAATTAGATTCTTTCTCATAACGTTTCTATGTTTCTGGTAATTTCTATGTGCTCTTTGGCTTCTCGCCCCATCGTCATACAGTTAGTCCGGTTCATTCTAGAAAAGGAAATAGTAATGCTGATTTATCCAACCGTGATTTTAGGTGGAATTTAAGTGAACACTTTTTGGGCCTGTTCCCATGATATTTCATGGGAACCTGCAATCGAATGTCTGTCCGAACAACACGTTAACCAATAGTCTATGGCTTCCCAATCGTTTTAAGACTTTGTTGACAGTTTTAGTCAATTGGAGGCTATGCAATAGAGGGTTCTTTAATCCCGCGATCCAGACTAAAATTTTCTCACAATCCCGTAATCGCGACGGTTTATACCGGCCAATCCCGATCCCGATCATAAAAGTTTTCTCAGTTCATTACCTCAACTTAAAAGGCCCTTTTCTGTGGGTGATGATTTTCTCAACCAGCATTTATCCTTTCAAGTTTTTGTTCACTGTAAGGCGTAACTTTATCTCTTTGCACCAAAACGATGACCTCGTTCATTTGAGAAGTTTCCAAAGTTTTGCAAGAATAACGTACACTAGTCAGGGTAACGACTTCCTTCCGTTTAACTTCGATAACGGAAAGATGTATCAGTAAAGACAGGTCAGTATCAATCACACAATAACAACATCAAGTGCATAAAACAACAAAAGGTGATGTGATCCTTTAGTTCCATAACATGGGAAATATAGAAAAATTAATTGAACACAATATTGTTATGCTGTTTCCTTAAGAGCCTTTAAAGTGGTCACCTTTCGTGGAGGCTGAGCCCGAAATTTTTATTCCGCAAAAAGCATCATCCGCTCTTCCCCTTCTCGTAAGAGATAGCGACACAACTCATAATGTTTACTATGTCGATTTGATTTGACTCATCATTTTCGATAGTAGCTGACATCCTCACAAAGCAACGTACCGCTCTTTTTCCCGATTGATATATTGGTCGGTCACCAAGAAATCCAGGGTCACTATTACAGGACACGGCAAGGCTCAGAATGTCCAAATATCACCAGTGGGTTGCAATAAAACAACAGGGCAGGGAAAAGGCCGTGTATAGGTGGAAGCAATGTAAACTTAATAAACATCATACTGTTCATTGTCAAGTAGGAGTTAAATGGAAGCTGATAAGCCGCCGTAACGAATTTTGAAAGCCAGGCCCAGTTATGTAAAGGGGGGACAACGCTATTCAACGGTTAAATCGCTATCTGGCGGATAAGTGAATAAATAGCGATTTATCCAGTGGATAGCGTTATCCAACCTTCGAACGGCCGGGGCCTGGCGCTTAGAGCTTACGCCCGTAGTCGAGGCAAAACGAAAAAGAAAATCTTAAAATCTCTGCACTGGCAGTTGTAAGCTCTGCTCCGCTCTTACTACTAGTTAAAGCTGATAAAGAAGCTGTTTTAGTCTCATGATTATACAAGAGTTCACACAAAAAAAAACACACACACACACTTTGAGTCAGGAGTACCTTTCAGAGTAAAAATAAGCAGCAATTTGTTTTCTCGTAAACCACCAAAAAAGATACGTTCCAAACAACAAGCTCTTCAAAAATTCAGCAGAGAAGTGTCTGTCATATGCTCCTAAATTGTGCAAAGTTGATAAATCTGAACGCAACGCTAGCGGTAATTTAATAAATTACAGACTTTTTCCTGGGGCGCCACTGTCTGGTTGTAGTTGATAGTTGTTACGTAGACTGAAAACCCGTCCCGAACGGACATAAACGAAGAACCCTGACACACATTTATTATTACACCACTACACATTGGAAGAGTAAAAACCATTGGGTATACTTTGATATCCTTCTGCCTCGTACCGTTGACAGGCCTTAGCGACGTAACAGGAAACTCGAGTTACATAACAAGGCGGATTTTGACAATTCCCTGCCCTTACAATTCGTGGAAATCTGAAATCGATATCAGCCTTTCAGTCAGGTTACACCGGTTTCACATGTCTCATTTCAACCAATTATCAATGCCCTAAGAAGGATAGGTCAAGGAGAAGCACAAAGCATTCTCTGTTAGAATAATCGAACTAATCCAAAAGGCACTCGCACGCCATCAGTTGAAGCCCTTTCCACACAATTTACTTGATCGGAGAGGAATTGGAGGTTAGTTTGTGTATGTATGAATAATATCATTAAGGCTCCTTTGAAACCTATAAGGAGAGAAATGAAAGTGCACATAATTAGAGCTTAGTTTAGATCAAGTCTAGTCCACTAGCTACTTCATTTCTAGGCATGTGTGCAACTTTACCTTTATACTTTATTAGAGCTTGATGTGTTTCCTAACCGACTTTTACCGTCTATTGAAAATTGAGAGAAAAGTAATGTGGATTGCTATTTCACTATTTTTTTTTTAGGACTTTTTAGGCTGGAATCCAATGTTATTTTTCAGTTGGTTGTCTAATCTTTGTTTAGAGATCACATTGTCGCTAGTTTTCTGTCGCTTTTATCGTCGAGCATCCAACCTGTTCCACATGGTAAACTGCTGTCGCTTGGTCTCTCCTTCCCGAGTGTTCCTATCGCCATTTATGATGACTGAGGTTTCCATTTGGTTGTTTAAGCTTGGGAAGAGATCGTTGATAAAATTATTCATGGAACAACTTTCGTGAAAAGGCACGCTAAGGGAACTAATTCTTCAGACCCTTATTTGCTATCATGGAACTTACATCGAAATAAGACTTAGGCACTTTCTACCAAATCATCGTGATGATATTCGAGTAGCTCGAAGCCGGTCAGTTAAATCTTTTTGGTCGAAACTTTCTTCAGGGAATACTTGTTTCTGAGAATTTTCACACATCAGTGGCCGTCAGGAAACATATCTCGACATTCTGAATTGAAGCCCTTCTACAAAATCTTTTTGATTTAGGAGGAGGTTAGTCTGTATATGTCGCTAGTTCTCTGCCGCTTTTATCTTCTAGCATCCAACCCGTCCCACATGGTAAACTGCTGTCGCTTGGTCTCTCCTTTCCGAGTGTTCCTATCGCCATTTAGGTTTACAAAAGCAATGGCCGATCGGTTGACTTACCTTTAGTGGGGGATTGTAGATAATTTCCTGTTGACAATCTGTTGTAGAATTTACATCCACCTTTTTCTTTTTTTGACATGGGTAGGACACAACGGATATCAAACTCGAGATATTTTCAGAAAAGTTTCTTGCAAAACAAAGGGGACACTCTGCATGTCGCAAATCATAGCAGTTAAGAACTACGATCGAAACTCGTCAAGAGATTGAGATTTTACCAGTATATAGCGAAGCCCACATTCAAAGCGAAAGCTCGACTTACTTCACTGACGGATTTGAACGATTTTTTCCCAACATTTCGCCGAAATCTAGAATCAACGCCATTCGTTAGGTCAGGTTAGGTCGGTTTCACATTTCCAAGTTTTAACCAGAAATCAATCCCCAATAAGGATAGGTC